TAATACTGAAAGGAATTTTAAGTCATGATTCACTGTGTAGTATAACTAGGTACTACAAATTGCTTTCTTTCCATATCTGTTAGGAAATAACAGCTTGGCATGAAATAAAAGAGCGTTATCATATCTGTAAAGTTTTGTAAGTTAGCTTATCCGACAAAATCATTGTTGTTATTTTTATTACACTATTAAACTCAAGTAAGCCATCGTATCAACAATATGTTGGTTGTTTCAGCATTAGCAGTTGCAGCAGTGTTTGGCTCAAATCAACGGAGCAGCATTAGCAGTTCTACTGACTGCTCATTGGCTGCTATTTGATTCACATCTTTCGTCTACTTTCTCACTGATACCAGCTATTTCTCTGTTACTGCTTGTTTCCATCCTTATAGTTCATTTGCTGCAGACGCATTGGTTCAGGCTTAGGCTTACGGTAGCATGTCATCGTACTGTTTAGCTTAATCGTTGCACTCCACTTTAGTAATTTATTAGAAGTTCAACTATTCTGCTTAAATTCAAATAGTCCATTTTTCGGATCGAATATTTTGTCTTTTTTTTTTCAAATCAATGACAGAGAGAATAACTGGTGCAAAAAATCAAATTAGAAGTAGTAGCAAGTGAAGTTTGACGTTACAATAGCTTTTTCAAACTATGACAAATTTCTCAAATTAAATTTATTCTTGGTATACAGTCTTCACAATATTATTGTTGTGCCTATTCAACTGAAGTTGATTCCATGATTCATATAATACTTTTTTTTATTGCAGAAGATGATGAGAAAATTGCTTAAGAATAAGACAATAAAGGAGAAAGTAGGAATCAATGACAGAGAGACTTATTGATCATTTTCTTACTTTTGCTGATCGTTTATTCTTTCTGTAATGTTAATAAAGTTACCAATGCTAGAATTTGCTAAAAAATCTTATCGAAGAATGAAAATTATTCATTATCCATAAGAAGAGGAGAATAATTGAGATTAAAGAAATGACCAATGAGGACAAAATGGAGCTGTTAGTTATAAATATAAAAATATAGAAAAGCTGAGAAAAGCTTCGCTCTGTGAAGAGAACTAACTGAATTTTGTTTCTTTCTTTCTATCCCTCTGTTGTTGCACCTATTTCGGCATGAAAAAGAACGAAAAACTTGTTTCTAGTCGGAAGTGGAAACAATTAGCTGAACAATGCTCACCTATTTCACTTTTGCCGATCATCATCGTCATCATAATCACTACTTTTTAACAGCTTTCACTTCCTCTTTTCCCTTTTGCTCCCTACACTGATAAGCTGCTGATAAGATGCTTATTGTTTTGAAGTTGTTTGGAAGTCAGGGATTCATTATTCATTTTTTTGCTCTACTAATAATTTTCATTGTATTTTTTTATTCAAAGATTGGTAGTAATTCAAAAGCATAATGCTCTACACAACGTTTGAAGCGTTACATAAATACAACCATTTGAATGTACACAACTGTTATCTTGCAGATCGAAATCTATCATTTGAAAGAAGATAAATAAGTGATTCGACAGATATGGAATTAAAATCAACATTAACAGTTGAGAAAGCTGCCAAATATTCGCATTATATTGAAGTGTAAATGATGAAGATGACGACGCCAGAAGTATAGCTTGATAGTTAGGTAGCTGCTGCGTTATAGAGAAGTAGCAGAGATGTTGAACTCGTTTCCTGACAAATAGCATGTGATCGCTCATTAACCACCAAAGTACGCAACACATTCAACATGCGCCCATACACATACACAGCAACTGTAAGGTGCTGTGTATTAAAAAACAACAGTTAGTGCAATCCCTGAAGCATAATGCACACTGCTACCTTTCCTTCTTCACCGCTTCAGTATTAAAAGGATCTTGTGGGTGCAATTACAATTGCAGTTACAGTTAAAGCAACAACTATACCAATGATTACAAGAGTGGTTTCAGCAATTCTTGTTAGCATGACAATGAGCAAAATTGATTTCATAAATATGAGCAGTGGCACAGGAAAAGGTGGAAGTTGAAGTTGAAGTGATCAATCAATCATGAGTAGATACTGCAAAGAGGAAAAAAGCTTCCCGCTTGTCTTGCCCTCCGCCTCGTTTTTCATTTTTGTCTTTCTCCGCTATCGTATCAAGTGCTATACGTCATTAGCATTCTTCTTTCTTATGCTCAATATTCAGTTCAAACTAAGGCATTGCACACTCATTGAATTATATTTTACTGTACTGTTTTACCTTTTGTTTATATTTGGTTAAAAGCTACCCCAATTTCCTCATTTCATTGTAGAAGGAAAAATACAAAAAGAGAAAACGTTTTAAATGATTTAAATATTTTCAAATTCAATTTGACTCTCGTTTCATTTCGCTAACTTTACTAGAAACGTCTATTCATCTATTTCACAGAATTATTTTATTAGCCTAATTTCTATTTTGATTTCTTATATATTTTTTTAATTCGAAATTACTGAGTTCCCCTTGCATCAGTTCCAATTTTTTATTATCCATTTCACTAAAAACTATGACAATATAATGTAAGAAATCAAATGTTTCCAAGCAGTGAAACTAAGACAACCTAATTGCTACATGAAAAATACTAAATATCTCACAACTTAGCCATGAAAATAACCAGGCAATAACAACAGACCTGAACTTATTACTTTTTATGTTTATATGTTATACCATCTTTTTTCTTTTCTTTCTGAATGTTTCTTGCTGGTTTATCTTTTACCCCATTAACAGCGTAGCTAATGTTTCAGATGAATAATATGTCATTATAACTGCTTGTTTTATAATAAGCAAACAAAGTGGTTCCTGTGATCTGAGTAATACCTTTGATGATGTGAAGCAGAAGCATTAACTCGGTATGTATTAATGATTATGATTTTACGATACAATATGACATTTATGGAGAGGAGAAAAATACCTATAAAGAATTTCAAGGGGTTGATGCTAAAATAATAGAGGTAATTCTGAATCCGCTAAGCTATTATTAATCACAAAATGTTCTCGATCTAAAGAGGACTGCTAAGTGTATGCAGTACGATTTTAACTTGTCATTATATTGGCTGAACTCACATCACTTCATACTACTTACAAATTTAGACTTATCCACGAGTTTCTCAGTACCACCACCAGAAGTCACGTATGTAGTGTGGAAAAATTTATACTGTTACTGATTAGGTTAGGTCCTTGTCATTTTTCTTTTCTTTGTTATTCAAATTCTAACTGACAAATTAATCCTAACCGATGATAAACTTGGATCAATTCGATGACGTCGTTGTTTTATTAAATGCTTCCAATGACACAACTTAAAGAATAAGTACATAAAGTAAATTATAAGAGTTTCCCTTCAGAAATTTACAATAACTTATGAACTATTCCTTAAAAAATATGTAAGAAAATTGAAAAGAATGGAAGATAATTGTAGTAGTGATAGCAACTTCTTTCTTAATTTTTCTTGCCATTTCTATACTTCCATACTGAGCTACTCTTTTCCAGTGCCTATTCTTCTTGTTAAAACATGGTAAGAAATTGACATTTTTGAACAATATTAATGATTTTGGGGAATTTGGCAAGTAACTGGTGAAAAACTGGTAGTGTTCTCCTCTTCGGTATATCTAAGCATAGAAAGATACTATTGCTATGAAAGCAGAAAGGAATATGCAAATTAGTAAGTTCATTATTCCTTGCTAGGAAGCGCAATAGAACATTGAATGATGAGTGAACGGATGGATAATAAATACTTTGTACTTTTCGTCTCATCGCACGTATTACTCCATCGCTTTGATATAGTTATACGTGGATTATTGAACGTTACGTTCAGCTTATACTAAAGTATGGTTCAGCAGTAGTAATACAGCTTAAAGAGAATAGCATTCGGTATGCTCTACCGGAATCTTTGCTCACATCGATCGCTTCCTTAGAGTAAGCTACTGCTTGAATGTCTTTGGTTGTCAGCGGTACCTATTTCTGCCCTTTTCATTTTTTCATTTATTTTTCATTTTCTAATTTGAACTCTTTGATAATAAATTATGAATCATTCTTCAAAAAAGAAGATGAGAAAATTGAAAGAATGGAAGACAATTGTAGCAGTAACAGTAACTTGTTTTATTGATTTGCTCTTTCTTTGAAATGATGGATGAATAGCAATGGATGGGATTAGTACTTTTTTGAAGAATAGTTCTTTTCCATGTGGTAGCTATATACTTTCTTCATTTAGGAATAAGGGAAATGGACGAATAGGGAAAAGGTTAAGGAAGCCAGTCAAAATGATTTTATGCTTTCATGTCTACTGTCGAAAGAGAGGATAGGAAGAAGCAACAATCGAGACCTCGGTCGGGTACTGATGCCATCGGAGATTAGCCAAATGAGAAGGGTACAACATACTGTTAGGGATATGAAGTGACATTATTCATGGTAAAGGTCATCAACGTATCCCTTCTCTTTCTCTCCACAAGCATTTCAACCTCAATAATTTGAGATGCTACTACTTCTCTTCAATACATTGTTATAATTCAAATCTACATTGTGAGGGTCTGACTTGCCACTTCATTTAATTAACAGTTTCCTTACCATTTTGTTCTACTTATAAATGCAATATAATGCGAAAAGCATGATACATGAAATACACCCTGCATCTCATTGCTCATTCTATTCCCTATTTGCCGTTTTTTACTAGAGAAACAGTTAAAACTATCTTCAATTGTATTTAATTAATTGCTCCATATTGTTTTAAAATGAACGTCACATCTATAGCTGGTCACCCTTGCTCTCCGACTTTTATTTTAGCAATGGTCGATGTCGTGCAGCATGCATTGTTTTATTTAGTTTAAGAGTAAATTCAACCCAAATTTTTTCAGATAAGCGAAAATAGATCGTTCGCTGCAAAGATTTTCAAAAAACCGGAGTTATATTTTTCTCATCGCTAATATAAATCTCCTTCAGCATATCTGAAATCTGTTTATTCCTAAGATTTTCACTGTTTCAATTAAACTTGCTGAAGAAAAGTCAGCAGAATGCCATATCGTTCGGAGTTGAAAAGACCTGATTTGAAAGGTTTAGTTTTTTTTCAACAGATTCTTTCAAATTTTAACATTTCGAAATGAAATTCACTTGCAGATTGGTAAATGACTACTAGTATCTCTTTTATTTTTGCTACAAATAATCAGAATATATCAAATGTAAGGAGTATAACGCTGATCCAAAGCTTGCAACATTGTTTTTCTAAATATCCACTTCCCAACACTTACAAATTAATATTGTAGTTGATTTTCTGGAAAATTGGATCTGTGAATTGTAATTACATATTTGACAAATTCAGAAATTGTGTATGTACATGAAATTGTATATGTATATGTACAAGCAAGAATTTCGAACACAAGTTTGATAAAACATAGAATTTAGACGTGTGACAGGTTTCGGGTGGAATGAATTTTTGTGCATACATTTGAAGTGTGAGATGAAATGTAATAGTAGCGATATGGCATAATTCAAGCACATTGACATTTTTTGCATGACTGGTGACACCTCATGGAAGGAAAAAGCTGGCAGTGTATTATTTAAATGTATTTATACAAAATTAGTAATTATCGTTAATAATTCAAAAAAATTTTAGAGCTAACGAATAATATTCAAACCTTTATTTCATTTTTAACTCATTTTTCCTATTTTCTTCACAACGAACTTTATTGATTAAACACAGTCTAGATTTTCACTCATTTTTAACTCATCAAATTAGTTAACACGAAGATATTTGGTGGCAGTTGACACAAAACTTTATAATACATATATCCATAAATAAAATAATGGTGGTATTCGTGATACTTTGATACGGATCTAAATTCCACTCATACGAAATTGGTTAGTTACATGGTTAGTTTATGTGGTCTCTTTAATTTTTAGGACTCCGTTAAATTTAACAAGAAATTGCAAATTTTCAGGTACATTCCCATGTTCAGTTTGTGGTAAAGTATTTTGTCATTCGTCATCATTAAGTCGGCATCGTATGCAAGCTCATTTCAAAAGCTACACTTGTACACAATGCAATCAGGAAATTTCTAGTGAGTTTTATTTTTTGCTTCATTTCAAAGCTTTGATTAGTTTCTGTTATGTTTTTAGTCACGATTTTGAAAGTTTATGTCCGCAGATATATGTATAGGCAATTTGCCTTTCATTTCTTTCCCTTTAATTAAAAATTTACCTTTTTTTTTTTTAATTAAAGGGAGAAAAATCATATATGAAGGCCGTTTGATATGTTTGACCTAAATCATGCCAAAATTTGACTCATTTAACTATAATATTATATCACATTTCACTAATGAAGCATGAATAAATTCAAATTATAGAAACATTTTAAAATTTCTCTTTTTTGGTTAAAAATTGTAGTCAGCTGTTTAGAATCTTTATCAGTATTTCAAACTTCGTATTAAGTATGAGATGAATGGCTAACTGCTGTTAGGCATGTCTGATGAAAATTACTTGTTGGCAGTATGTCACCCTGTATGCTTCCTTTTACTGCCCTAAATTTGAGCAAAAATGAATGCAGCTTTCTCACAACGTTTAGATGCCAGTGATCACATGGTATCGCTACCAATATGATAATATAAAATGTAAATAGCAACTGTCTGAGAAAATTTGGCTGGAAATGAAGATAGCTCAAAGTATATTGCGTCCCAAATTAGTATTAAGTAGAGATTTGAATCTGTTACTCATTAATTTACAAACGATGAAGCATAAAATCGATAGAGTGGACTTTCACCTTTTCTTAAATGGATGTTCTGAAAAAGTATATTAATGTTCATTCAATTGCTGCTCAATGTGCCTTTAACACCAGTCTTGACCAATTATAAAATTTATTAAATTATTCATTTGTTTTTCACTGCTTTTGCCATCTTCTTAAATAACTTGATAAATAAATGAATTTTTCATATAGCATAATATTTAAATTGCTTGTAAGATTTGAAAAAAAAATTCATTTAATAAACAGTTTATGACTAATGCCTTCAACGAATTTCTTTAAAAATCTTCCTTTTCTACGAAATGTGATTAAGTGTAAAAAATGTACTCACCCTGTTTAAAACTTCATCACTTCCTACAGGAGTATACAGAAATATGTTAAAGGGCATAAGATAATTCTTTTGCTAGAAAAATATCAACTTTACTTCGAATCTAAATTGTGCAATAACCAATATATAAATTAGAAATTTTAAATATGGCAAAAAATAGTTACATTCTAAGAAGTGCTGACATTTCTTAAAATCATGAGAACATTAATTATCAATCTTAGGAGGATTTAGAAATTAGTGAGTTAAAAAGAGGGCCGGTAACAGTATGGTCGATTATACAGTATGGTACGGAGCTAAAAAGTTATAAAAATGGATTGCAGTTGATCGGCGAAGTGCACAAAGCGTACATGACACACTTTTTGCTTAATTGGATTTACATTCTCTTTTCTTCTTAAGTTCCTTGTTGGTTATCCTTTATTTCGAAGAATACGGACAGGTTGTAAAATTACATGAAGAATGGAATGATGAGTGGTTGATGTCCATCTTCGAAGAGAGACGGAGAACTGCTTGGTCGCTTTAAACATCTCTTATCAATTTTATAGGAAACAAAGCACAGTTAAACCAATCGACTGTAAAAAAAATAATCCAGAACCCAAGAATCTTCAGTTTTAATATCTAATTTTCTTCTCATCTCATTATTTCTATATTTGCATTCAGTTAATTCATATGTGCTTATTTTGTTCACTTCGTTTGTAACTTTTTACGTTTGTTAATTTCGAAATCCTATAAATTTCGTATGCGTGAAACGAAACAAAACTTTATATTCATTTGATGCGGTTTTGATTTTAATTTTTGTACTGTTAACATTCAAGTTAAAGCATCATTGTGAAATTTCTTAGACAATGAATATATAAATTAAAAAGACAAAATTCTGCATATATTTTTTACTCCTTTCATAGAAAGTAATGTAAAAACTACTCTTTTATTATCATTAACGATAACAGGCTGCTCTGGAAATGAAACGCTCCGGTCGCATATGTTCCGGATACATTCTATTTCACGAATGTTTATGTGTCGGTGCTGTAATTGGGCATATCCTGACAAGACAAGCTTGCATATACATATGCAGAGTATGTTGCGGAATGGTACTCCCGGTGACGTTTCTGTTCTTGCGAGAAGTTCTAATGATGGTCCAGGAATGGCTGGTGGTTAGTCCTTTTTTTAAGTATTAAAAAAATTTTCTAATTACTTCTAGCATACTCATGTATTATCATTTGTTACTACATATTTGTCAGGCCCTCTTCTACATTAAGAGTTACTATTTAAACTTATTTTTTAATAAGGAAATCCGGTGTTCATTTATTGGTTCGCAAATCAAATAAAACAAAATGTCACTTCTATGCTCCAAATTATTGCCACCTATATCTTTTTACAGTCGTAGGAGAAATGTCACCAAGAGAGCTTGAAGAAAGTCCATCAGTAAGCCCCCAAGATGGATGTGGAAATGAATCACCACGAGGCGAACAAACACATATTAAAAGTTCCTTATTTGGTAATGGTAATGGTTTACTGGACGGATCCATATTTCCAGCGACAGTCAGCAATACCGATAGTTTATTTCGATTTACGGCTAAGGTAAATATCTCCCATTTCTAAAAATCGGTTTCATAATTTCTTAACTCTCTTCACTTTCCAAACTTCATACGGATTGAGGCGGATTTTCATGCGTTTCTTGATGTTGACTCGGATGGTACGCTGAGCAAGCCTTCTAAAAGATTTCTAGGTGTCAATTGCCAAATACCATTTAATGTTTGTCAAGTTATCGATTTTTCTGAAATACTGGATGTTTAAAAGTAGTCTTTTGTTATTAATCTAGTCCCTTTCATTAAAATATACTCGCTGTCTTCAACTATTTTTGTAAAAAAGTACAGTACCACTGAGTAATTTTTGCAGCCGGATAATTTGCTGACACCAATTAGTACGGATGCCAGTGGTCAGAACAGCTGGTTAACAGCATGGTTGGCAAATAATGCTTTTACTGTGGCGCCTTTTAATTCTACCAATTTGTTGACAGGTCTTTTTTAACAGCAGTTCAAGAACTTAGGACAGAGTTCACTTTAGAATGGTTTATCGTAGATAATGTTTGATATTGCTTTAAGTGTTTCCAGTGATTTAGTTGTAGATTTGAGTTGCACTTATTTCGAGAAAAATTAAAATGTAACTTATGATTACTTTGCTCAAATCACACCACTTCAAATAGAGTTTGGATGGTTATTGTTGAAATTTATTTTTTTTTTTTTTCAGAATGTTTAGGTTTATTTTGTAGCTTGACAATCTTTAAATTCTAGTGACAAACAGTGCAGAAGTTATAAATGTACAAAAAGATGGAGCAACAGCAATAAATATAGGTTTAAAAGTGGAGTCGAAGGAGGATGAACTAATTTCAAATAGCATTGATACCAACGCTGTTAAAAGTACCTCTCTTGCATCTCCAAGTAAAACACCAAATTCCACCTCTTCACAGGTACAGTTTTGCTTCTTATTGGTCCATGTTCTACCTGTACTAGATTTTTCATTTTTTTTAAAGAATACTCGAAATATCTGACGGTTATTCGCAGAGCAATCTTAACTTTCAGTACATCATATATAATATACTGAAAGACTTTCTTCTGCGATAATGAAAATTTCGATATTTGTGCTTCTGTATGGTAATGATGTTTAAATCATCTGCAATAGACATTACGAATTAACACGACTACCATTAGTAAACATATATTTCATAAAAACATTTGTTGTAAGAGCAAATCTACAAATAATAAAAAAGTTAAGCAAGCAAAAAATGATTGGACGAGAAAATAAGAATTGAGGAATGGTGAACCAAGTAAAGAAATCAAAGTGGTAGCAAAGAGATAATAATTCACGAAGTAGATAAGAGAAATAAAATGCTAGTTCAAGGATGTTTATTGAGTTAGCGATTGCAGCTACCTTATTTTTATCAGTCTGTGATTGAAGTTTCTGACTGTAGTGAGTGCTACTGACAACATCAAGAGGAAGAATGTTATATTTATGCGCTTAAAAGTATATTTTTTGCGAGGGACATGTTCGATTACAATAATGTAGGCAGAAACAGAAGTTCTATTAAATACAAATGTTGAGAAAGAAAGCAGGAAAGTATACAGTCCGTTGCATTGCTCTCTACATCTCCTTCATTTTGTTGAATTTGTTATTTTCCCTTAGTTTGTTGTTTCAGGTTTTCCGGTTTTTCGTTCCAATTCTTTATTTGGGTAGTCATTTCTTATCAAAGTTTCTAATGATTAGTTTGTGCCTAATAACTCGAGCCTTATTGATTTTTGGCATTTCTCAAACATGCCTGCTTAATAATTCTGTTGCAAAAAGAAAACATAACAAAAATTAATAGAAGTTTAGCATAAATTAAATAAAACTGGATATTAAATACCATATTTAAAAGTTTAAATTACTTATGAAATTAATGAACTTAGTCAAGAATACACAATGATCCTGGAAGTACTGTGTACTGTGTAGGTATTTGCATGCTTATGTTTGTTCTACAAAATTCTAGGAATATAAGCGATCGGTCAATGCGAGTTCACTGGATGATTTGCTGGAAAGGAAAGGCTTAAGTGTTACTCGAAATCATCGAAATAAACGGAAAGCTAGCAATCCTCAGCAACTACTGGCTTCAACAGCATTTGTCGGTGCAGATGATGAAGATGATGAAGTGAAATCTCTACATTTTTTTTTTTTAAACTGCTTTAATAGTAGAAAAACCGTTGAATAAAATCGTGAAACTAAATTCCATAATGTCTGTACATCTCAAACAAAGAGCAATCTTTTTATTTGCTTCATTTTTTTTGTCTTTTATTTTTTGCAAATGAAGAATTAAAAGTCAAACAGTGTGAAGTTCTCTCGTTTCCCAAACTTGCATGCATGTATGTATTTATTTACTGGAAAACCAAGCTATATTAGTAAAAATCAATTCTTTGAATTTATTCAATTTCGGTAGATAAAGTGGGGATTTTTGATCAAATGATAGCAATATATCTACAATGTAAATAATTTGTCTATCAGCAAGGGATTTACAGGGATTTGCTACACTACCACGAAAACAGAACATCGTAGATACAAATACCAAAATAAACGATCGTGGTAAATCAGCCAACGGTGACCTTCCTCCTCAAACAACAACAGTGAGCAGAACAACCCCGAATGGTGTCACACTGGTTGATGCTTCTACTAGTCCTATTAAGAGATGTGACTGCACGGTAATATTTTGCTTATCTTTGTGGTCTTATTTAATATCAGCCAATGATAGGTGCTTCAAAACGACTGCATTTTTCACTCCGATGATCTAATTCTTTTGTCGCCTTTATTATACTGTTACATGTTGAAATTTTCATACCCTACAATTAAACATGGATTTTTCGTTATCTATGGCATTGATGAATGCGAAGTTTTATCTAGTATTTTATTAAAGGCATGATATCTAATTTATCTGTCTGCCTATATATGAGATAGATATTTACATATTTAGATGGATAAATAGATTCCCTTTATTAGATATTTACATCCAAACCTCTCCCAAAATAATTAAATTTTCATATCTTCCACGATAAATAAATAAATAAATATATATATATAACTTTGTGCGTAACGTTTAGGTGATGAATGAACATTTACAGAAAATTAGTTAAGAATTCAGTGGTTAAATATGTCACCTACCTCACTTTTTAAATTCACAGCGCTTGGCAATGTTAGGTTAGACATGTCATACCAAAAATGCACGACGAAATTTTTTGTTATGTTTATGTTGTAAATTTATATTTAACAAAAATATTTTTTTCGCTTGGAGGTACTAAAAATCAAATGTGGTGTAACAGAAACGAGAAATCAGTCTCCTGAAACGAAAATTTTGAATTATGGAAGGGAAACTGACCACCTGGATATTCAGCTAACAGGACTGGACACAACACTGCGACAATTTGAACATGAAAAAGAAGAACTCAGACATCAAATTGAAATATTTGAGGAGATTTTAATTGGTTACCAGGTAATCAAAATCAAATAATGGATCAATGCAGAGTTGGGTCCGGAAAACCACCGACTTTCTATAGTTGCTCTGGAGATGGGCATCAATGTCAGTTAATCAATGTCACTTTGACAGATTCCTTTATTCTATTCGATAAGTTCCAAATTGGAAATATACACTTTCCTCAAATTTGATGTACAGAAATCAGCCCGCTATAGTGTGGAATTATTTCAGCAAAGCGCACTAGCAGCTTTGGCACTACTACAAAGTGGCGGTCCAGATGCAATCCCAGCGATCAAGAAATTGATGGAAAATTTGCTACAGTGAACAATGGACGAAACTAAAAGTGTCATCAACCAGTATTAGTGCATGTAAATTTTTTGTTTCTTGCAAATATTACTGATCAAATGACGTGACCTCATCGAAGTAAGCAAAGTCAAAAGAAATGACTTGTTTTCCAAAATGTCTGGTTTTCTCTAAAAGATAAACGAGAGGTGGAATCGAAATTAATTGATTAAATTGTCATGGCTTTGCTTCGATAATGTTCTGTGTGATTTAGCAACACTATTGATTCGTTTTAATCACATTCGATTGCAGTGTTGTTATATGCATACGGAATGTTTTTTGATTTTCTAATTTAAGATCAGATCTTGATAGTAACACTTCTATTCTACAGCCTGCCTTTGAAACATTTGACGATTTATGTCTTTATTGTTTAAAATTAGGACTCGTCAGGAAGATCAGCACCATTCATCCTAAATTGTTCTGTCTTATTTATTTGAGCTTCGTTGGAACGACACATTTCATAACCAAAAAATAAATTTCGACCCATTATATTCAAGTTAAGTGTACTGAGATTTTCCCATCTCTTACCCACATTCGTAACAGCAACAAACAAAGAAATCATTATAAACTACCTGAAAAGTTCCGCATGATTTTTGTTACCAATCTAAAATTTTATTGCTGGGAAGATCCACAAATCACACTCTGTTCATTCTTTTAACTTTCCTATATTAAGACATGTCGAAAATTCTCGTCCAGCGTAGTGCAATGAAAACTATCTACAAAGTAGTGCTCAGTAGTAATGATGAGGACACGATAAGACAAAGTAATAATTTTCATGTATATTATAAACCGTATGTGCTGAGAATGCAGAAATTTATTTCAATATGATACTTGTCCTTGTGATTTTGACGAAAACCCTGCCTTCGTTTTGTCCTGAATTTAAAATTTGATGCTGTTTTGATTTTGATATGTTTACATTCGTGCTAATAAGAAATGTTCAGGTTCATAAGTTATATTGCATTTTTAAGAATATTTTTTAACACTGCAAACTCATTTTCTTTCGTATAACTTTAAAGATATTAATTTCTACTTCTCCATAGCAAGTACATCTTAACACTTCATACTAGACCAAGGAGTAACATGTGTGTTCATATTGGTGACTAATACCACTGCAAATTGAGTTACAAATAAATTGGCGACAGAGACTAGAACTCGACAACATCAATAATCACAACTACATTATTAAGAGTTGAGATAATGCTACTGTAATCACTGTTGTTTACTATACAAGTACTAAAGGAGGGACAGAGCAGCATTTTTGTTGACTTAGTAAAGAGAATGTTTAAGAAAAGCTACTGTCAGCAACTCCACCGGAATAAGAGGATACCACTCTGTAAAACCCAGCACTCCTGTCGACGCGATGCAGCTGTAACAGATATTGCGAGAATTGTCAGCGACGACAAATCAAAGAAAAACAAAAACTGCAGTGATGAGGTGATGGGAAGACATATGACTTAACTTCTGGAAGTGTACACGAAAACAACTCTCTTCTACAGTTAAGCGCGATTGTCAATGCTGGTAAAGATACAAATATTTAAGATAGAGAATGTTTCTATTGAGCATTCCCCTCAAATCTCACTTCATTTTTAAATGATTAACCAAACGATTTCTTCCCAAAAAATTTGTTCATTTAAAACTTGAATGTCTATAATATCCGACCTCGTAAAATGGATGTCTTTATACTCTAAAGGATTCGAAATATGGAGACGAAATAGGAATAAAAGATTCTGTATATAGGAAAAGTATAAGTCAAAGCAAGTCAATAATTTAACAATGTTGAAGCTAATACCTAGAAAAGAAGGTAGTCGCCGTCGTTTCCACTGGAAAAGGACATAACTGTACAGCATAACAATGAGACCCTATATACCATTCAAATATTAATTCTGTCAGACTATATGACCTGTTCCATTTGCTCCCAGTAATGTCTACAGTGAAAATTTCAAGAGATCTCTCATTCAGAATTATAATTTCCCGAACCGGATTTTATATTTCCTCGACAACAATGGAAAAATAAAATAAAATGAATCGCTTGCTCATGTCTGAACACAATAAGTATTCAAATATTCAGTATAAAAAAAGATGCAATAGAAACTCGTCTACTGTGGAAAAAATAAAACCATACGTCCTGTTACTATAACCCACAGAAATATTAATTTCACAATAAATACACATGCGCTTGCTTGAATTGTTACTAGCACTTGCTTGAATTAGTTTCATAAGTTATACTTCCACTTAATAAACTGAACACAAACCTTCGGAATACGATGGTAAAAATTTCGATAAAATATTGATATTCGAAAACTGTAATGAATATAGAATTGATTTAGAACTCACTACTCAAAATTATTGCAAAGACTGAAGATTATACCATCGTCCACGCTTCAGTGTATTCAAAAATTTGAGATAAAACTCGCCTGTAGCAAAGTGCTATCCCATATAACATTTACTCTTAGCATTTAAAAAAATTTATTTTCCATTAGTGATGACACTTATTACCTTAGCATAATTTACGAATATCTTACAGATTTAAGTTATCTGGATCAACGTAATGAATAAATAAAGTTATACATCCCAATCAGGAACAATAATAAAAACTTTAGGATGCAATGAACTTCAGACTTGATTCCGTTATTTTCGAATCTCAGTTTGAATCTTCTAGAAGCTGTTGAAGCAAATGCTTATTTTTATAATACAAACCTAGCCGATCGCGCCCATACTCCTGAAATCCTCTGGATGAAATCTGAAGATAATAACACAAGTTCTATTTCGCTAAAAACTAGTGAAATTTCATATGTATAATTAAATATGAAAAACGTACAGCGAATCCAAAATCAACAGGAGACACTTCAACTTGCAGCAAACCCCAAACGCCCCAAAAAAAGTGAGACACCGGAATAAATGGTCTCGTTTCCTGCAAAAGTGCTGGTTAAATGGCATGTATCAAGATGACGGATTAATATCCACAAATTTTAAATTTTGTAAAGACTAGAAGTTCTAAGAAGCTTCAAGTAAAATTTGTAGAAAACACTTACTGCTAAAATTGTCCACTATTTATCTGACAGTATAAAAGCTTGAAACTTAATCTCCGCAAAACCTTTAGCAGTTACGACAGTGAAATAACCTCAATCATAGCTCTTGCTTTTTTATCGCACTCGACCATCGAGGAGAATGGCTCAAGTTCATTCAAATAGGAAACAAAAAAATCGTATTGCAATTCATCGCTTGGAAACTGGTGTTCATCTATCTCGTAAAAAGGAGCTTTGTCAACATCATAGTTGATTGAATATTCCACGAAATGATTTGCGAAATCGAATCCTCTGGAAGATGAGATGCAAAATCATATCATATCATGCATGGATTAATAGCTAACATCAAAAAAATTATTGCCGAAAGTGTTTCATTCTGTTAGGTCGTCGCATTACCAAAAAACTTAACAGAAGACCGGTTATAAAATTGTAAGCTTCTTTAATACAGATAATAAATCTATAGGACTGCATACAACGTATTCATTAGCTAATTCAATGAATGAATAATAGTACACCTATGAATATGATCATAGCATGGTGAGTGTAGGAGTGTTATTAACCAGAATCACAACCCAAATAGCTACTGCAGATATAAATGTGAAATACAGTCTTAAACCTAATCTTTCACTAATCTATATTTCGAATATAAAGGTACAAATTTAACAGTCGAATAAAGAAAAAATCATAGCTTTCAGTAGGGCAAGAATCTGCCCAGCAAAAAGCAAATACTACTGCAGAAAATTTCGCATTAAAGTAATCAACTAATAACATTAAGAACTATCATGTTGCACTGGTTTGTAATAATGCTTATCTATTAGGAATCTATTAACTATTAGGAAGTGAATACACATATCAATTAAAACCTAGCGCACCGGTGATTGTAACTTGCGTATTCAAAATCAATAATCACAAGACGTGATGCGTTTGTTGCCGACGCAGAATCCCGCTGCGTAATTGATGGAGTAATAATATTACCAGAACTTGATCGTGGAAGTAATATATTACCTATAAAAGTTTGTTCTACTCAAGTTTGCTAATCAAACCTTTTAATTCTTTTGGGAATTTAGGGTTTAATAAACCTTTTATCTTTAACAGTTCAAGTTAGTTAACTCACAAATAAAATCTTCTAACGAACGAGTAAATGTGTTTGTTTCGGTAGGGATATCTCAGGGTTATATATTTAGTGATATACAATAAAGTATAACTCATACAGTCACGGTTCTACAAAAACTGATATTACCTTCTTGGAGATCATTATGGCAAAATGTGACGATGCTTTTACTTTTGCTGACGCATTTCCTGCAAGCTGAATTCATGTTCAACAGCCATTTCTAAATGCCTTGAATCGTTATGATCATTCGAACACAAATTCCTCTGATTACTCACATATATATATATGAGTAGTTAATAAAGCATACCAAAAAAATTTTACTTCAGAAAGTCAAGCTCGTTAGCAATATCTTCACAAGTGATGATTTGAGGAGCAGAATCTGAATAACAGCTAGGAATCACAAATTCTCGTGCACCACTTGGTGTCTGCATAAGCTGTTTCAGCCATCTAAACATTATATTCTTAAATTACTGTGTCAGTCAAGAGAGTATTTTAAAAAAAAGAAATTGTGCCCACTTAGGGAAAAAATCAAAATGGCATTTTACCTGCTCAGTGCGCCGCACAAGTAATCAGGTTCTTTCCAAATCGGCACTTCCAGCTGATGCACTCGAACCAGTCGCTGTGCTATTTTACAGGACATTTCCGGAAGGGCAAGCTCTTTCCATGAAAGTGGTCGAGACTAAAACATCAAAAAAGAGCACGTGCAAGCTCAAGCAGGAAAATGACACTATTCACTGTTAACTATCAACGATCAAAATTTTTTGAGTATTTTTGAGTAAACTGTTAACAATCAAAATTTAAATACCGGAATATACTCTTCCAGCCGCCCACCGCTAAATACTCCGTACAGTTTCGGACCGAGGTGGCGTTCTGATAATAAAGTGAAGATGACCGATTCCGATACAAGGTGACTTTCGGTTTCTGGATTAAAATAAATTCGCAAAAGTACTTTGTCCGGTTCGTTTGTGAGTGGTGGACATGCGCCCGGAAGGCGACACAAAAACAGCATATTACTCATACCACCTCTGAAATGTCGTTTAATAATACCAAGATTTCTTGACATTTAATAAGTTTGTTTCTAGCCAAATAAACGGAAAAGTTCAGATCATAAGAATTACTTCAATCGTTCCAATTGAAGTTCTCCAATTCCAACAACCTTCCAAGCGCCACCAAGAAATCGAGCACAAAACATATGCGCGCGTTCCTTTAATTCAAATATAGTATTTGCGTCTGTGTCCGGTTCCAATTCAGACAGAATCTGCTTCATACCTCTAAAAACCAAATGGAAAAAAATGTCAAGAATAATGTACATACTAGTTCCCAATAATATTGAAATTCTATTCAGAGTAGCAATCTACCCTCAGAATTTTTAACATAAAAAGATAACCTGAAACTATTTTCTGCTGCACTACACATCATCACAGTGAAGAAAATGCTGAACTGCACTTTCCTACCTAAAAAAAAGTTGTGAAACCCGGAAAGCACTTTTGAAAATAACACAATTTTTTACAGGAGTTTTCAAAATAAAGTGAGGCACTCATTACTATTTCTAATTCTGCAAATACCAAATATCTAGTATCTAAACAAAAAGAGCTTCCATAAAAAATTTAAACATAATAAAGAAAAAGATTTCAATAAAACCTACTTGTTCACCCTACATACATGTTGCAAGTTGTACTTCTTCATTGATCACAATACAGCAAAAGCACAACTTACAATATCTGTATGTAAGATAAACGAATAAGTTTTAGCGGAATTCATATCTACTTCTTTTAAGGTCCGTAAACCGCGGAAGGGAATCATTCAGTAATACAAAAAAACTGGAATTAAAAAAATACACTATGTTAGGAAAGGTTGGCAGTTCATATCTGCCCCAAATTTGGTTCAGATCTAAATGAAAACCTGCGATCGTTATCAACATCACGATTCAGATAAACAAATTTGGAATCAATTTCAATGCATGATATGAGTATTACTAGGAATATAGTGAGACTAAACTGAGATGGACAAGGAAGAATTTACTGATGATCCGACTTTAACAGAATCAATCATCATTGCACCACTACAACTGATGCTATGTATGCAGCCTAACTGATTTTTTAATATGCTGTTAGATGTTAAATATTTGTCATTACTGATTTCTCTCTTCCCATTATGTTTTTTAACAGAAAAAAGAATGTCAGTTTGCAGATTTTTTGTAGATACTGTAATGAACTTTTTTTTTTTTTTAACATAAAGATTTTTACAGAAATCCATTGGATTTGGAAAACTCAATTTTTACTGACCGCTTTACAGGACTCCACAGTGGAGCTTAAATTGATAAAGCAATAAATCTCACTAAAATGAATTTCAAAAAAAAAAGTTTCAAAGACCCAGTAAAGAAGATCGATCTGGAAGCCGATTAAAATATAAGTAGTATAAAGGTTAAATTCATCTTCATAAATCTCGAGTGTCAATTAAATTAGCTGTAAATACACCCTGGGAACACAAAGTTTTCAATAATTGAAAATTTGTTGAGAAGTAAGTGGCAAAACTACTCGCTGCATGTCTGTCTCTTCGACTCTATCCACTTCCTTTTGTCTTTCTCTCTAAACTACTTAACAATTCCTAAGTCATATGACCCCTGTTATCACATTTCAAAACCTCTCTTCAGGCTCTGGCATAATGTGTTTCCATAAGATGTACCTGCTGAAATCATGTAGTGTGAACAAACGCGTCACAAATTTTGTGAACAAACGCGTCACAAATAAGGAAATTAGTAAAAAAAGTGAAGTTTCCAATTAAATCTAACAAAGCACCACAGCTACTTTTTTCAGCTGATTTTTAGTGCTGGACGATGCGATAGTTTTGAGCCAGGAACTGCAGCCAGCAAGGAAAAGTAGAAGGAATTATGGATATCAACATCTGCGAAGATCTGGTCTCGCTATCTAACTTATCCAAGAGTACCATCCAGTCAAAAACATATACACCCTTCACATCATCCACTTAGCACTCACCCAAAGCAAATATTGATTGCGATGTACATGCTATCATAATTGCACACAATTCCTGCCAAGTTAATTCAGTCCACGACGCTCACCAGTCACTCAATTAATTTAGCTTTCAGTATCTTCCAGTTAACAAGTACAAGGCATGATGTTTTTAGATCTGAACAACCAACAGTACAGTACTAATTCAAAAAATACAGTTCGAGATGTCTTTCGTAAGTGCAATATAAACAAACAAGCATCAATTCGAAGTCACGTCATTAGAACTTCAAATTTACACGTTAGAGAATGACGGCGGAATGAATACTACGGGAATAAGTATCGGATTGCTTCTCAGAATATAATATTTACTGATACAAAATCAAGATGACATTGTGAGCGATGTAAATAAAAAGATTTGTAGCTTTTGTATGAATTTAGAAGCAAATCAGCGTTGTTGGAATATGCTACAACAAACTTAAGTTTATTTGGACAAACGTATTATATGATGCAACTTTTCATACAGAAATGAAAAAAACGTGGTTATGGGGAGAAATGATACGATGAAGTGATTACAACTAGTGGCATCGCGGCTGAATTATTCTGAAGAATTTACCGGTAGGCATAAGATGATCGTCTACTAGTATTCAAAAAGAAGCGTAGGCGCTGGATGCACACATGCTGGTAATCAATCAATTTATCAGATACAACACAAAAATATAACAATTAATTCTTGGGCTTCTAACAAAATGTTATTTGCTGAATGTCAATTTTGGAATATAAAATCGTAACCTCAAGTTTTACTCCAGTCCTTTCACTTGCCAACCTCCTTGATGGGGAAAGTGCCGGGGATGCCATTTTCATTGCGACCCGTTATGGTCGATGTATTGCGCACGGAGTTGGTTGCTGAAGCGACTGTCCAGTGATGGGTTGGGAGATGTGTCGTAATTATTGGGGTTGTGGACTCAAACTATATCGTGGAAGAAGGGAGGGGAGGGGGGAATGCTTCTATGTTGTACTCCGCATTGAACTGCCAGCCTTTCATCTGCTGAGTTAATCACAAACACATTTTGTTATTTACGATCCTTTCCCAACAAATATATGAAACCGGAGCAGGGAAGTCAAAAAGTCTTCGAATATTATTTTCTTTTTCATTTTTACTGATATCCTGCTATGTTCTGCTCTGTAATCACGTTCTTTTAATAGAAGTGTTGGAAGACAACTGAAAAGTCGGAAAAAAAGTAGAAGAGAAAATGTTATAACAGTAAAAACATATGCACTCTTACGTCTTTTTATATTAGCAAAATGCCAACGTAGGAAAAGCAAGCTGTAGCTGGTACAAAATTTTGCCATCGTGTATAATGCATAATCAATTATACTGCAAAAACGGTTATTCTCAGTTTAGTCGTGATTTGCACAGTTTAAATGAGTTTCTATCCAAAAAAATATACTGGTTTAGGGAAAGCAATGCAGTGTTTGAAGGTAAATTTCATATGCTGTCGTGATAAACTAATTTATGTTATTAGGTATAAATCCGTGTTTCCATGCTATTGACTCAATGAAATGGAATAGTCAGGACCGTTGGTTGACCATCTTGTTTAGAGTCCTGACTTCCAGGACTATTTATTATTATAGTGTTTCTAAGCAGATAATTGGGAGTTAAATAGCCGCCATTGACATGTGGAACTCTGGAATGGGACATTTGATTTGGGTTTTCGGGAATTCATGGTTGAAGTTGGTTCCAGTCTATAAGATGAAAACTGACCAAAGACCACCTTATTGTATGTTTTAGTATATTGCAGTATAGGCGAGGAGATAATGAAAAGTTTGTATTGCGTCCACAACATGGGCTTTCCCCCAAGCAAAAAAGCTATCTATGAAAAGGTGGGTCTATACAAGTGAAGTAAGTACATAGTGTGACTCCTCTGATATCTCACTTCCGTTTCTTTCGTTAACCTTACATCCGCATGTATATTATCTATAAAACATTGCAATGATCTTTGCAATAAATGCAATATTATGCATTATTTGTCGTTGTTTAGAAGGTGTACACTGAGTTGTGAGGTATGGTCACTTATATTCATTTTTTTATGTGTTCTTATATTTTTTTCCTTTTTTCAGAAAACATAGGAGCCATTGGTTGTCGAGTGAAAATTATTGCATGGGGAATAATCTGAGAGGAGGTTGGTATCATTTTTGACTAGATTTCGTTGTTTTCTGAATTTTCTCAAATTAACTGTCTGATTTTCTGAAACGATCTAACACATATATATATACATGACTTGAGGCAGTTTAAAGACTGAATTAAAGTTTTTTATGACTGAATTTTTATGCGTAGAGAGATTCATGAATAGACTCTTCCTATTTCTAAACATTTTCTGTTTTTCTAAGAATACTTTCCCAATTTTTTTTTTCACTTGGAGCTATTTTGGAAAATAATGAGCTGCTTCATGATATCACTGTTGAAAAGCTATTTTTTGCGATAGTTACTTTTATGCATGCATCAGTAATCTGTTACATATATGGGCAAAGGCCAGTTGCACCAGTAGAAACCGTAAGAATTTTATACAAGTTTAACAACTGTTTTTAACCACATATTTTATTTATTTATTTTTCAAGAATATATAAAATTGAAATTTAGACCCATTTTGAATCGTATTAAGCCATTTTTTGTTACATTTCTAATGTGCTTATTAATTATGCAGGTACAAGGAGTTCTTCAAATATTTTTTTACCACAATATGTTGAGGAAAGTAAGATAATTTCATCCTTATTGTCATTTTTATAAGCTAGAAGTTGAAGTAAATTTTCACTGTCGTATTTCTTCCTGAATTTCCCGATTCTTTTTTTCCAAATGGCCGGGTTTAAGAGTAAAGTTACTAACTGTTACCAATTGAAAGATAGTTATCAAAGTTGTTAAAAACGTTGCAGTTATAATACCGAAGTTGGGTGGAAATGGAAGCGAGACTTTCCATTGGTTTGCTTAGTTTCTTTTCTGTCTTGGCAAGAAAACTTATATTCTTAATACTTATATTTTGATGCACTCAAGTCACTACTAACTTTGGTGAAGATAAGTAGAGACGTAGATTTTTGTGTCTATCGGTTTTTCAAAAAAAAAAAAAAAAAACTAAATATATCGTTTTTGAAATTTTATCTAATAACTGCAACTCTTACAATAATCTTTCCCGACTTTCACGAGGATCTATTTTGTAGAAAAAATTTTCAGTGCTCATAGCGCAAATTGGGATACTAACAGCGATTGAAAGACTTTCCGTTGTAGATGTGGCATTTAATGTTGTAAAATTAGTTGGTCATAGACCCGAGTCGTATTGTTTGTGAAAGTAATGGAGATCCTTCTTACAGACGTCTACTTAAGTTTTAAGCCTATCTTTCTCTCACTGTACAATCCATTATTTCCGTATTCCCTTTATGGTTTTCCTTCAATATCTGTAT